TCAGTGTGGGTCAGCTGCTGACCCTCCACCACATCAGATCTGTGTGGCACCAAACAGATCCCACACATTCTATTTTCCCCACTCTGCCCCCTCCACAAGCAGCAGCTCTCAAAAATGCCTTTTTCCCCACTCCCACCCTGATTTTGCCACATTTCCTGTGTTCCACCCACTCCATCCTCCCCCAGCCTCCATGGACAGGAACCACTGCAGGTGAATCAGGACCATCCCAGCCCAGCTCTGCTCCCCTTCTCTCCCTCCCCAGGAGATGGATTTCTCCCTGAGCACCGGGACTCTGGGATTTGCTGGATCTGCCATGGGATCCAAAAGCTGGGATTTGCTGGATCTGCCATGGATCAAGGCTCCCTCCACCCCCCTGTCTCTCACCTCCTGGGTGGAGTCCTTGTCTGACGTTCCTTCCTCCTGGCCTCCCGATTGTCCCCTGCCTTGGCTGCCTCCGGGGCTGCTGCTGTAATTTTTGTGAGTGGCTGAGGGACTGGGAGGGCAGTGAGTTTCTTCACAGATTTCTCCCTGGAAAAACGACAATTTTCAGGTGTGTGATCCCAGGGGGTGGGCACAGAGCACTGATGTCCTCAGAAATGATGTGCTCTGGTTTGTTGTTTAATATTTTAGAGGTTATGGAATCCTGCAATGGTTTGGGCTAGAAGAGACCTTAAAAATCATCCCAGTCCATTCCATGGGACACCTTCCACTATCCCAGGTTACTCCAAATCCCATCCAACCTGGCCCTGGTGTGATTCCTGAAGCTTCAAACACTTGGCTGCTTCACCAAAACACAAACACCACAGATTTCCCTAAAGGGATTTGTTCCCCATATGTTCAATCAATTCATCTTTTCAGAGACAAATTACTGTAAAACAGCCAATTCTGGAGATATTTGACTTGTAAATGAACTCCTGAAGCAGACTGGGTGGAAATATTTCTCATCCATTTAATTCCATCATTTTTACCCCAGACACTTACACCTGCTTAAAATCTGCCAGTCAGGCTTCAGAATGAAATGTGCAGAGTTAATGCAAAAATTCTCATTTTAAATCCAGCACACAGATCAGGAGGGTGCAGAACAGCCTGTGTGTGCCTGGATCTGTGTTCCCTGAGGAAAACTGGATGAGAGCACCAATCCCACCCAGTGCAGGAGATGGGAATGGCTCTGGCTGCTCAGGGCTGCCCCATTTGGGGCTCAGAGCTCAATATCTGCATTTATTCTCTCAGAACACAGGGTTAAGCCCATGGCACTGTGTTAGCCAGTGACAATAACCCCTGTGCTGGGGCAGCTGCCCTGGTGTCCCCAAAGCAGCACGGCCAGGAGGGAGCAGAGGGCCTGGGAGGAATCAGGCCCAAGTGGAGGGGGAAAAACCCCAAAAGGCAGGGTAACAAAGGACAAGAATTGTGGCAAAGGGGATTGTCCTAAATTCTGGAGAATTCAGGGGGATTCCCATGGTGTCATTTATTTGCAGGTCAGCTTAGAAGAGGTGACATCACTGCGCTGTTGTGTCACCCTCCAACGTCCCCGTAATTTGCCACTGCAGGGTTTGTGAAATAGCAATTTCAGGAATTTAAAAGAGCAGCAGGGCTGGCAGAACGTGCCAAACCCAGCTGCAGAGAGCTCCAGTCCTGTTTTCATCCGTCTCCAGTGTGAAAAGTTGATGAGGTTGAACCATTGCTTTACTCTGAGGCTGTGGATGAACCAAAGCCACAGCAGAGGAAGGAATTTAAACTTTTTTATACCTCCTATTATGTATATTTAGATGATACTAATATATCTGCACACAGAGAATGCTCCAGCAGTAAATCAAGTGTTTAAACACTTGTACACAGGTAATATTTAAGGATACTTGCACAGTTTAACTTGGACTTAATAAGTAAAAGTGCCATTACTTAATTAAATCTGCCAAGCTTTTAAAAACTCTTTAATAAAGGCTGTATTTCACATCTTTTATTTCTTTTTTAAACTCAGTGAGGTTTGGGATCCCAGAATGGTTTGGATGGGAAGGGACCTCAAAGATTCCACTCCCTGCCATGGGACACCTTCCACCAGCCCAGGCTGCTCCAAGCCCCATCCAGCCCTGGACACTTCCAGGGATCCAGAGCCTTCCCAGTCTGACAGGAAATATTCCTTCCCAATATCCCATCTAATCCTGCATTCCTTCCTGAAGGCCCCTGAAGGTCAGAAGGGTTTGTCTGGACTCTCACCCAGAGGAATTTGGGTGCTTACCCTTTCCCAGGAGGTGGCAATAATTCCCCTTTAGCCTTGGCCAGTGGCTTGTGAGGAGATGGTGTGGGAGAAGGAGAGGGAGAAGATGAGAAGGACCTTGACCTGCAAAGGAAGGAGACATCACTCAGCTCAGGCTCTGGGGTTGCAGGAGCTTCTCCTGGCCCTCAGGGCATTCAGCCACCACTGCCCCCTCCCCAGGAACCTTCCTGAGCTTCTCCTGGCTTTATATTTGGTTTTATATTGGATTCTGTGCAGCAAAACTTAACTTCTGTCACCAGACAGTGGGAAAAGGAGGAAACAGAAGGAAAAATGGGATCAGCTAGAAGAGAGGCAGTCCAGGTATTTCACAGCAATACCTGAGGCTTCCTCCATCCTCTCTATTCTCTCCTTAGGGAGAATACACAAGAAAATAAGCAGGTTTTTGAGTTTCATGTTCATCACTTTTTGTCCTGTTAACTCCTAGAGCAGTTCAACCCTTATACAGCAACAAAACCAAAAGAAACTTGGGAGAAAGACAAAAAATTCACCTAAATCAAATCTGTACCTTCCGGAAGCCAAGAAGAAGCATTAAGTGGAGCACCCAAAGGTGCCAGTGAAGGGCAGGAGCTGTTTCCTGAGCCCTGAGCACACACCACGTGCTGCTCTCAGGGTGATTCACCCCCGTGCCAAGACTGGAAGTGCCTTGGTTGCAGCCCAGTGCCTCAGCAGCCTGACTGCTGTGTGACAGCTCCTCTGGGGACACTGGCACAGGGTGTTCCTCACCCTGTCACCTCGGGGAGAGGCAGCCAAGGGTGTCACCCACACTGGCTCTGTCCTGCCTGGAGCGTGGATGGATGGGGAAGCTCATTCTGCTTCCCAGGTGGAATCAGCTCCCAGCTGAGCCTTTCCTAGGAAAGCAGTCCCAGAAATGACAGTGTGCTCTGCCATCACCTGTGGGATCTGCTCTGGGCACCCGTGTGGCTTCAGCTCCTATCTGAGGAGCCAGTTCTCCTACTATGGGTATTCCAGACTTGGGAAACTGTCTGCAGGGGCAAGGAAGTAGCAGAGGAATAAATCTTAATCAGCATGGGACACTGGATTGCTACTTTGAAGTGTCAGGACTATCACAAGACACAACTGCTTTAATAAAGAAACGGGATTTGCCTCTTGAAATAGAAATCCCAGCTCCACAGAAAAGAGATGCTGCTGAACTCCTTCCAATCAGAAAATGCAAATGATGGGAATGTTAATCCACCACAGGCATGGGAAAGAGCCCAGCCACAACAGCACTGCACCTGTGGGTGGGAGCACTGGGGAGAGGAGGGGGTGGCTGACAGATCTCCTTCAGCCAACAACCGCAGCCTCCCTCGCTCAGCCACGGGCTCGGAACAGCTCATTTTACCAGAGCAAAAAGGAACAGTCAGGAAGCATCTGGAAACCATCCCACCACTGGTTCCCAGTGCCAGGAGCACTACCTGGACCTGCTGCCTGAGAAAGAGCTGTGCCTGGAGGAGCGACTGGAGTAGGAGCTGTACGAGGAGGACCTGGAGCGCGAGCGGGAGGAGCCGGACCCCGAGTAGGTGGATGAACGAGAAGAGGACCTGCAAGAGAAATATTACAATTCAGAGCTTCCTGAGAAGAAATATTACAATTCAGAGCTTCCTCAAAAGAAATATTACAATTCAGAGCTTCCTGAGATTAAATATTAAAATTCAGAGCTTCATGAAAAGCCCCCAAACTTTTGTTTCCAAAGATGTTCTGCTCCAAACCCCACCAGCCTTGTCCTTGGGGAACTGTCAGTG